ACTATCTGAGCAAGAAGATGCTAGAGTATGAGACTCGCTACACACCATTAGAGAAGGCTTGCTTAGCTTTGGTATGGGCTACCAGGAAGCTGCGGCACTACTTGTTAGCTCACTCCGTAATGTTGGTTTCACGACTCGATCCCATCAAGTATCTTTTCGAGAAACCGGCACTTACGGGTAGGCTAGCTCGTTGGCTGCTGTTGCTCTCCGAGTTCGATCTGAAATATGTAACACGCAAGTCAGTCAAGGAGAGAGCAGTGGCAGAGTTCTTAGCCGATCATCCAGTTGAAGGAGAAGAAGCAGTTGAATACTTATTCCCAAATGAAGCCATTTTTCACATCGACGACGAGTATTGGATGATGTACTTTGACGGAGCGTCAAATCAGTACGGGTATGGGATAGGAGTGTTGCTGATAGCACTTGACAATTTCCGTATCCCTCTAGCCTTGAAACTCCGGTTCAAAGTCTCGAACAACGAAGCAGAATATGAGGCATGCATTGCCGGTCTAGAAGCAGCCCTAGAACCAGGAGCAAGACGGTTGGACGTTATCGGGGATTCAAACCTTGTTGTGTCTCAGGCAAAAGGAGACTGGAAAGTTAAAGAAGAAAAGATGATGATGTACCACCAGACCTTGGACTTGTTAATTCCTCAGTTTGAAAAGCTAAACTTTGCTCATTTTCCAAGAGAGAACAATAGGTTCGCAGATTCTTTAGCAACTCTATCTTGCATGATAGACATCCCGTTTGGAATCCGGATGCGTCCAGTCGTCATTGACCAGAAATTTGCGCCAGCTTATGAGTCAATTGCTGCTATAGATGAGGTTCAGGACGAAAACCCCTGGTATTACGACATTTGGAACTTCTTCGAGAAGGAAGCATATCCGCCAGGGGTAAATGCCAAGGATAAAAGGGCAATCAGAAGAATGGTCGTTCAGTTCATCATCTGTGGGGGTAAGCTGTATAAGAGAGGTCATCTGGGAATGCATAAGCTGTGTGTTGAAGCCGAGGAATCGAAGCACCTGATGGAGGCCATCCATGGAGGAGAATGCGGTGCGCATATGAACGAAGTAATGCTAGCACGGAAGATCCTCAGACAGGGTTACTACTGGTCCACCATAGAGGAGGATTGTATCGGTTTTGTTCGGCGATGCCACAAGTGTCAGCTTCATGCAAACCGCATGAATATCCCGCCGTCGAAGCTGTACAACATGACTTCGCCATGGCCATTTTCAGTTTGGGGAATCGATGTGATCGGGGCTGTCACTCCGAAGGGGTCGAATGGGCATGAGTTCATCCTGGTTGCGATAGATTATTTCACGAAGTGGGTCGAGGCCCAACCATATGCGGTGTTGAAGGCGTCACACGTTGCAAAGTTTATCAGAAACAACATCATCTGTGGCTATGGGGTCCCAAACGAGGTCATTTCAGATAATGGTTCCCACTTTAAGAAGGAAGTGATTGACTTGTTGGAGAAATACAACGTGGCTTTCCATAAGTAATCCACATACCGGCCGCAAACCAACGGAGCGGTCGAGGCCGCCAACAAGAATATCAAACACATACTGCAGAAGATGGTGGAAACCTACCGGGATTGGCCAGATAAGCTGCCCTTTGCTCTGTGGGGCTACCGGACGTCAATCAGAACTTCTACCGGAGTGACT